AGCATGTATTTTATAGTCTTCTTATTTATTAATTTTAATTTTTTTTGGTGGTTCTGTTTCATATTTTCTCAACAGATAGATCCTAGAAATAACACATGACATATTTATAGTTTGTGGTTAGATTTGTGTCGCTTAGTATTTATGTTGCCACTTGCAAAATTTATAGAAGTGGAAAGTATGTTGTTGGACTAAAACAGAAATATGTGAACTCCAAATAAGATATTTCTCATTGTCCATCGTTGAAACGACCTACAGAGTTTTGGTATTCCAGTAAAGAATATGAGAAGAAACATACCACGCAGAGGTCTGAACAGAATACATTAATTTATAGCATTGCTTGTTTTACTTGCGTAACTGGTTCACCTTTTAAGTGTTGATGAACATTTTCTGCGGCAGCATCTATAAACGGTCAAGCAAAACAAACGACAAACGCACTCCACAATTTGTCACCAGTTATACAGTAAGGTGCACACGAAATGGGCTTTGAACAGTAAAACAGTTGAAAGGCATCATGGCACACTCACAAACCAGCATGTAAAACAACTTGTCTCACCACTAAGGATAATAACAGAGGTTTGGATACACGTCTTCTGCAGAGGATGTGAAAGCCGCACTGGCGCGCCAAGGCACCTCTTATAGTGCAGTCCTAACTCTAAACTATGAGAGTCTCTATCTTGGAGCACATGCATCTATAAACGAGCACACCAGCCATGGGCAGACTTCTGTGACCACCTCGGCCACTTCTGTTTTTCCTGCCACTGGACCACACAAACTTATGGCCACACATCTCTATAAACCTCAAAGTACATAAATGCTGTACATGTACTGAAAAGTTTATTTCCTATTTTTATTTCCCTAGGCTTTTTACAGAACAAAGTTTTTGGGGTTTTTCTTTTTAGAAGCCAACTCCATTGTCAACAAAAATTACAGTTGGTGACTAACTTCTGAGATTTTCTCTAGTTAAGGACCATTGGCTACATGGCTCCTTGGATTCGTCTAGCCGTGTGTGTGTAAATTAAAGATTCATTTCTCGATTTAATCGTTAATCTTTTTTATCAATTACATTTTTTTTTAAAACTTTCTGCACGAGCACCAGCCGCGGCATTGGCCTATACACATACAGCACAGCAATGAAGTAATAACATGAACTAGGATCACAATAATCCAGCACATTATTATTCTGAGTTGCCCCACTCAAGCGGCAGCCATATTGAGTGGGGCAAGTGAGACTAATAACGTGCTGGATTAGTGTGATCCTAGTTCATTTTCCAATGTAGTTGGATCTGTATGTGCGTTATAATTAAATCGAAATTAATCGATTAAAAAGAATTTCTTACTGTATCTGTGAGTGTTGTCACCCTAAGACAAGTAGTGTTTTAGGACTTCAAAACTCTTCCGACTTGCATCCTTATAATATAGGAGGATGCGTTCTGTAGTCCACAGAGAGGAACTGGTAGGGCTGATAACACTGCAGAGTGTACAAGAAGTTGCAAGCTCCCTGGATTTCTGGCAGGAAAGAACACGTTTATATATTTTTGAACCTTTAGACTAAATATAACAAAATGCTTTCAACAGACCAAAATGGGCAAGTACGTTTATAGTTAGGGTTAACATACTGTGAGAATTAGTTTCCAATGGTAGTGCATTAAGGATGCATCCACTCGCTCATGACTTATTTTAAAGGGCTTCCTCGCCCACTTTTATTAAATGAACATTCACAAAACTATGCGATTACCCTCGCAGGGGTTCTTTAGCAGCTCTTGCACAGAAATACAGCCAAATCCAGCCTCCTGTCTTTGCATTCACAGCACCACTGCTCCGGCCTCAGGCCACTGTTTGTTCCTCCAGACGGTCTCGTGCTAACCTGCACAATAGGTTTCCCAACCCCGCAGCTCCCTGCTGCACTGGCCTCCACTCTGACTCCTGGGTGGAGTTCTCCTGGCTCACAGGTGGGGCCTTGAACCTGACCCAGCATCCTCCTCATAAGGGCTGTGCACAGGTGCACCATCATTTGGTGCTGGTCACCACTAAAGCCCGGACCCAGGAATGGAGATTTCTTCCCTCCCACTTCGCTTAGAAATCTCCCGGCCCCAGGATCCCAACTATAATCCAGAAAACCCGGAATGAGTTGTAAAAGCAGCTCTTTCCTGGAGCCGCTCAGCCCCTCTGGAAAAAGGGTCACCCAGGACTCTCAGCCATTCTACATAGTGGCATTGCCACGCACAGCCACAATACACTTTCAGTAATTAACTAAAGAAGATCTATTTTTAAACCAAGCAACTCCATTCCCATAATGGCAGGTACCAGAAGCAGGCAGCTTGCATGCTGCTGTGCTGGCATCAGAGTTTTCAGAGAGCTTTTTCCCAGGAAAATACAGCACAGAGTTACACATCACACTTCCTTGCCATATCACATTCCATCCCTACTTTGTGCAATTCTCCTTTCAAAGGTGATTTTCGAAATTCATAAATGTAGAGCTTTCATAAATAAAGAATCTTGCATAAATATAGCACTCATAAGGCTCATTGTGGCATGTGGGAAGCAATGGAGGCCCCACCAGATACCACAGCATACCTTCAGAGCTCTAGTAGAGTCCATGCCTCGATGGGTCAGGGCTGTTTTGGTGGCAAAAGGGAACCTACTCAATATTATGCAGGTGGTTATAATGTTCTGGCTGATCAGTGTATGTTTTAATACAACATTTGTAGACTATTTTCTCTTTCCAGTTCAAAATCAAGGTTTTCAAACATCTGTGACCGAATCATTTTCATCTTGTGACATCTGCATGTTACACACATTGTCAGCTTCAAAGTTGTCTTCATTAGGTCTTGTTCACTCCATGTCCATTTAGCTGCATAGAAAACAATTGTTTTTCTATGTGTCCTGTTCATACCATTCATGTGCAGTGGTGTGCAGAAAAACGCAGTTCAATAGATATGCATACCTCCCAGCTTTCTAAGAGGAGAAATAGGGATACCTTCCAGCACAATGTATTTAGGTAATGGGCACACTGCTGCCCCATCCCCAGTTATGGGGACCATATAGAATGTATATGCTAAAAGTGATTGCTTAAACCCAGAAATGTTTGGGTTTTTTTTCACCATTACTTTTCCTTTATATTGGAAATGGCAACCAAGATAATTAAGAGATAAGCTAAAGGCAATATAACACTTTCAGTGTTACATACAACCTTTTCATAGATATCTGTACATTAGAACAAAAAGAGGGACAACTGAGGACAGAGGGATTTGGTTCCAAATGAATGACAGGACTTCCAAATCAGGGACACTTGGGAGGTATGGACATGGTGTGAACAAGTCCTAAGTGTGTTCATTAGTAACATTCTTTTTAAAGAACACTCTTAATTTCACTTGTAGTTGTGTAAAGAAACCTCTTAGCTATTTTAGTTATGGTGCCAGACAGCTATTTTTAAACATTTTGTTTTCACACAGATTCCAAATTCTTTTTAGATAATTTATGGTACACCATTACAAAAGCAGTGCTCTCACCTACTTTATAAACCACCATTAACCCTCTTAATAGTGATAAGCAAGGTGCTGTGGATACATTTGCCCGTGTTTTATGAGTTGTTGGCTTGTCCATGTGTATCAGCCCCCACAGCGTACTTGCTTGTATTTATTTTCTTTCGCTGATCGAGATTTCAGCCATGCGTGGAACCGATTGTGTGTCACAGAAGATCCTCATTACTCACAAAACTTCATCACAAGCACATCTCCAGTTATGGGAATATCTTGCTTTGTAAGCAACTGCCACGAATGAAGCAATTTTTCCATCCGAGGCGTTTTTCTGGCTAGACAATGGGATGTTTGTGAATGCAGGGAAGGGTTAAAAGATTGAGAGGGCTCTCACAATTGGTTTGCTAATTAGCATTTTATTGTTGCGTAGAGAGGGAGTGTTGAGACATCGAGAATCACTTTGAAAATAGCTGTGCTATGCCTGTTTAATTCCTGTGGCGAGCCCTATTCCTCTTAGTCACACCAGGATTAGGAAGTGTCCCGGAAGAGCTAATCGATGGTCCATGTCACTGTCTGCATGGCATTTTGGAGCTGTGAAACATGTAGGTTGCAGAACAACATGTGTTGGAACTGGCACAGTATCAAACATGCTTTAGAAGCCTGTCCTCCCTTTTTTTTTTTAACCCTTATCTTGTGTTACATTGTATGTTTGATGTGAAGTTAAATATTTATGCTCAAACTTTTATGTTTTTGCTGATTTTATAACTTTTTTTTTTTAATTGCTGTTGTCCACAGTATTGCTTCCGATGCAAGGAGACCATGAGGGAGGGTGACCCTGCTGTTTATGCAGAGCGGGCTGGCTATGACAAGCTTTGGCATCCTTCTTGCTTTGTCTGCAACACCTGCAACGAACTCCTAGTTGACATGATCTACTTCTGGAAAAAAGGAAAGCTTTACTGTGGTCGCCATTACTGTGACAGTGAGAAACCACGCTGTGGAGGCTGTGATGAGGTAAATCTTCATGTTCATTAATAGTCAGTAAAGGGTACACTAGTGTAATGAACTTCAAACACCCAATTAGGTTAAACAAAATTTGATTGTTTAAATACCTCTTAAATTGATTTGGTATCTGAGGCTGCGTTGACTGGTCGTCATATTGTTTTATATGGGTTTTCTAAAATCTCGCATTAGATTGACTGGAGGTGCACTGAAATAGAAATTTAAAAAACGAAACCGAAATAAAAAAAATTGTCAGTTCAAAACTGAATGTTTCAAATGTTTTTTAAATATTTTATTTTTATTTTATATAAACATTTTTTTAAAAAATTATATTTTTATTCATTTTTTTTTATAAAATATTTTTATTTTTTACTTTACTTTTAGGGGCTTCGGGAAAATATTAGGGGTCTAAACGGACCCCTGATATTTGCCTTTTAAAATAGAAAAAGAGATTGAGAACACAGAGTCAATCTCTTTTTCTGTGTTCCCTGTTATCAATGAACAGGAATCCTCTGAGTGTTCCTGTTCATTGATAACTTGAGAACATAGTACGTTTACTATAACTACAACTATGAATGAACAGGAGGTGATGTAGCTTACTCCCATTCATTCATAATTGAGGATATAGTCAACATACTATGTCCTCAATTATCTACAAACACTCAGTGATCAATGAGTGTTTGCTCTCCTCTCTGACTCGCTGTCACAGGAGGCTGAGCGAGCAGAGCAGGGAGGAGAGCCCAGCCTCCTGTGACAGCACGGACCGTCTCCACCCCCACACCGCTCTGCCGGACTCTGATAGGCGGCTGAGCGGTGTGGGAGGAGAAACGCCGGCCGCTCGTAGCGCTCTCCTCCTGCAGCACTCGGCCGGCTGTCACACTTTCTCTCCTCCCTGCTGGGACATAGAGCAGCGTTCAGCAGGGGAGGAAAGAAGCCTGGGATGCGCCGATGTGTATCTGCAGGAAAATGGCACTTTCTGCATTTAGCCAAAAGTGCCATTTTTGGCCGATTTATATCGGTGCATCCCTAAGATTGACGTTTACGATTCTTAAAGGCTAAGTTTATCTTTCTGACCATGTTTCATGTTACACCCATATGTAACATGAAACATGGTCAGATCACAACCCACCCCTCCTCCTGCCCCCCTACTTACCCGAATGGAGTTCTTCTCCCCACATTTAAATTCATTGCAGCTGTACGTGGCTCCACCCACACAGCCGAATTATCCACTCACAGATCCTTTGACAGATATACACTGAGTGGCCAGATTATTATGACCACCCCATCAGTAATTCGTTGAGCCACGAGATGACTCCACGAGATGACTTCGTTGGGCCGCCTCGTGACTCCACGAGATGTTGAAAGGTGATGGAAGGAATCTGACACTGCACTGTTGCCCTTCTGTTGTCTTGTACCAGTCTTGCCACTCTCCGTTCTGCCCTAACATTGACTAGTCGCTGACGGCCACAATTTGCATGTTCAGACCCAGATTTTCGGCTGACAGTCCAGTCTTTAAACACTTTAACAACAGCTGCTCTTGAACATTTAACGAATTCTGCTGTTTTGCTGATACTCGCTCCATGGCTCCGAGCGCCAACAATCATCCCACGTTCAAAGGCTGTTAAATCGCGTTGTTTACCCATATCTTCAGAAAAAAATAACTTCTACTGACGTGGTAAACAACCTGCTTCCCTATTTATAATGGTCTGGCCCTCTAGCAACTTCAGCACAAAATTATAGCTAATTACAGCTAATTTGCCTACAAACGTCAGATGGTCATAATAATCTGGCCACTCAGTGTATAGTTCTCCATGGAATACAAATGCAGCAATATCACAGCACTTCTAGTCCCTTCATTCTTCCAGTCTGCAGGAGCCAGAGCACTGCACCCATGATCCAATGATCATGGTTTCAATGCTTTACTAGCTCCAATGTAAGAAAAATAGTAAATGCACATTTTTCCTTTTTACTAAGAAGTGTGTATTTATTATTTTTTCAAAAAGGTGGAATTCCCCTTTTAAACTGTATTGCACTTCTTTGCCAGCTCAGGAAGGCAAAGAGCAATTTGTAGAATGCAATAAACGCAAATGTTTCAATGCAACTACATTAAACAACAGTAAGGGGAAACCAAAAGATCACTTTGTAACGTCATTCGCTCACGGATCATGCATCAATGGACTTTGCTTTCTTATGGGCTGGCTTTCTCTATATCGCCTTCTACAGACAACAGCTTGAGAAAGACTATTACATTACCACTCTGATTTGTTAAATGAGGATCCTTCCACTGACCCTAGCAGGTCCAGTACACAGCTGTCAAAGGGGATGTCTGAAAGATTACAGCTTTGTTCCTTATTCTAAATAAATGCATCAATAATTGTTTCCCCAATTCATGCAAGTTGAGCCAATGTTTATTTTATTTTAACATTTAATAATCGTTTGATAAAAAAATACCTAATCGGATTGGGATACATTTTTACAAACATTTGAGCACCATAATTTGTATAGCTTTACAGTGCCTATTACCTCTGTTGTATTGTTATTTAATGTGTGCACTCTTTATAGCCCTTTTTATAAAGACCCCTTTTAGCTTTATTGAATTTAGTTTTCCACCTCCTCCCCCTGCTGACATTGGCGCTGTAGATCTGACACGAGTGCTGGTGTTGTGTCTTCTCCCCTGTCTACGTTTTGGCCATTCACAAAATGCAGACTGTAATGATGTATTTGGTCTTGCATTTTCTTAATAGCCAAGCATAGACAAGGTTGGAGATAGAAAATGTTGAAAACACAGAGGGAGCTGCACTATACATAAAATACAAAGCCATATTAAAATAAAATTAAAAAAAAAGCAGCACTCAGTAAATGACTACATGGCAGAGATAATTGCATACTTGCGACTGTAATGCTATGAAAACAATGGTCACAAGATTTAGGCTAAGGTAGACATTCCTAATGTAAAAATGTAGCAAAAATTGAATGAACTAAAACTGCTTATCAGCTGTACAAGTATCTCTTCAATGAAAGGTAAATGTATTAAAGAAGAGCCTGATAATGGCTGGTAAGAGCTGCTGCTCTTTATTCAGCTCGAAGTGCAGTTCTTGTTGCAGCCTCTGGGCCCATTGGTCTACAGCCGGGTCTCTCTCTCTAGTGGCCATCCGTACAACATTCCACCTACCAGTTAGCTAAAGATTGGATGATGGAAAATGCGTGCTAAGGTGATCAATATGTACTTTGGGCATTCATCTTCCGCCTAGTCCAGTTATCCATTTTGTTTGTGGGTTTACCATGTATTTTTTTGCATTCATCTTCCCCCAGTCCAGTAATCCATTCTTGGCAGGTGTACCATACAATTTGTATATGGGACTAATATAAATGTACTTTCTCCAACATCTTCTCCCATTTCCAAATAAAAGTAGCTTGACTACAAAGTTTTAAGTGGGACCTGAAAAAATTGGAAACATATTATTAGGCAGTTCGCTACCAAAATTCCAAGCCTGCATACACTATTATAGTAAGATATCAAATCTGCGCTTAGGAAAAAAACTTCTGATCCAATTCAGGGAACAAAGTGTATATATTAAAGTGTATATAAGAAATAAATAATAAATGAATTCAATACATTAATAGATTTATAAATCCAATATATTTAAAATTAAAAATTAGAGCTGCTGCAACCTAGATTCTGAGTCTAATAGGGAGTGAATAGATGAATACTAGAATAGAGTGGGCTAGATTTGTATAGGTGTATTTTTTTAAAGAAAAGCTATACAAAGCCAGTTGTTAGGGCAACTGGGCATCATTCTGAAACTTGCAATTGCCTGAAATAAAAGAGCATGGAAAGAGGCAAGACTTCAACGGACAAATCTGAATGCTAATTTGCTATACATTCTATGCAGACAGCAGTGTTTATGGGAAGTACAGTTCACGATTTGTTTTTCAATGTTTTATAAGCTGGCTATAGCAACAGTTGCAGAGGGTAATTTTTCTCTTTTTTTTATTTTCCTACATGTGAAAAGGTCTACGTGAAGTAGTCATCCTCAAGGCAGTTATACATACTTAAGATTATAAATGAAAACATGAGCTGTGCCATGTTCTGGCACAGTGAAAGTTCACAGCACTTATGGGAAATGCTCAGATACAGCAGTTTTTTGCCCAGCATGTCCAACCTGCATTGCAGACTCATCATAGCTGTGAATGATCATATGCAGTTTAGAATGGGACAGCTGTCCTGTGTATAGTCTCTACTTTAAAGAAGCTTGAGGGTGTATATGACATAGTATTTTTCTTAGTTTTTTTTTCTTGTCATCTGTACTTCTTGTCTGCCATACTGTAGCAAGCAATATGTAGCCAGTGGTAGTATTTTATTGAACAGTTTGTTTTTTATCTGGTGGTAAAGTATATTCTGAGTACTCTAAAACATTAATGTTTCCTGGCATTTACAGGCAGAAGGATTTAGGATTTTAGTAGAATTTTTAAGCCGTGTACATTTAAAATTTTGTATTGTTCTCAGAAGTTTATATGTTATCTCCACAATCTTGCTTTTATGTGATGTAAAGATGCAACTCGGTTAAAAGATCTTTGATTGCACATTCTGTCATTAAATTAAACCAACAATATTTTAAATAGTTTGATTCGAAATGATTTCTATTATGTTTAAGCATTCTTTTCTTTAGCTTATTTAAACTGTGTAAATTTCATATTGTTTTTGTATTATTCTCAGTGTTTTTTATGTTCACAATCTCACTTTTATGTGATGTAAGGATGCAACGTGATCAAATGATCTTTGATTGTACATTCTGCCATGCAAACCTGCATTGTTTAAATCGTTAACTTAGAACAGTTTTCTACTACTTCTTTAGTAGTTTTAGCGTTAAGATTATATGATCTGTTTGCTAGAATGTCATTTGTTTTCCTCATGCATGTATTTTTCTTTACTGGTCACTAGATGGCATGCAGAATTACTTTGAAAGTTAGGTTGTAGCGACACCTGGTGCTTCCATTAAAAAAAGCATAAAGCACAAGGGAAGTAACTACTGATTTTCTTAAAACCAAATATTGTTCATTAAACCTTTTTTGTTTTTGTTTTTTTAAAGCTGATTTTCAGCAATGAATACACTCAAGCAGAAGGACAAAACTGGCACCTGAAGCATTTTTGCTGCTTTGATTGTGATTGTGTCCTGGCCGGGGAAATTTATGTGATGGTGAATGACAAGCCAGTGTGCAAGACTTGCTATGTGAAAAACCATGCAGTGGTAAGACCCTTCACTATACTACAACTGTCACTCCTGCTTCCATTTCACTGCTTTTCTGCTGCATTTGTCCTCTATATTTCCATTATTCCATTATTTGAATATATAATAATTCTGTAATGCATAAGACAAGTTTCTGAGTGGTATAGAGAACGAG